ACTCAAAATTTTATTTATTCACAAACTTGTACATTAGTTTATTATAGCCATTCAAAAACAACAACAAAAAAAAAAAAAAAAAATTCTAAGTACATATTTTCTTCACTCCACTCACTCATCTTCTTTACATGAGGCGAGATCTTCCTCTTCAATGCCCTCATCTAGGGGGGTCTGGGCTACGTCATCTTTGTCAATTCTAACACTGCTGAAGTCTATGTCTGGGAACAGCTCTTCTGCTTTAAGCTTGAACATCTTCTAGCCACTGTCCCAGAATTCAGCCATTTCGTGTTTGTAGAAGTCCGACCGCTGGAAGCTCTGGATCACTTCGTCTTCGCTCCTGCTCCCAGTGGTTGTCCCCGATGGACCAGCCCCCCCAGCCCCCTCTCTCACCCAGTTGCTGGCAATAGTAGCATCAATGGCCATCTGAAAGTCAACAGACACCTTAAATTGCTCTACTGTTGCAACGTATAGATCGGGGTATGTTGCCCTTTGAGAGGCTGCCTTGGTTTTTTCTTCCTCCAACTCCTTCTCCAACCTCGCCTGTTCCTCCATTGCCCTAGCACGCTCATCTTCCAGCTCCTTTTGCAGCCCAGTAATCTTCCGGTCTGCGTCATCCTTTTCTTTGATCTGCTAGGCGCGCAGTTCTTCATTGCTGCTCATAGCCTCTTTAAACCGCTCGGTGGCGACCGTGCAGGCATTTTGAGCATCCCCCAGCTTCTTCTGCTCACCAGCCAGCTGGAACTCGAGCGACACTACCTTGCGGCATTCATCCTCTAGCTCCAACTTGACCGCGAGCAGCTCAACATGGGCTCGAGCGGCAACATTGCGCTGCATGATTGCCAACACCTCCATCTTCTTTGCCTTCTCAGCCTCCCCTAACCCCCTGGCACACGCACTCCGCGCAGCCCTCCTCCAACCCACGCTCTCCCTCTTGAAATTTTCAAGTTGGGCCTCCACCTGCCCCAACCTCTGCCTCTCCCTCCTCATTTCGCCCTTCGCCACCGCCGCCTTATTCAACAGGGCCCCTACTAAGGCAGCCGCCTCCATCTAGGCTGAGCACAACCCCTTCATCAGCTCAGCCTCAGTATAACCAGCCACTAAGCAAACGGCTGCGTCTTCTACGACCCCCAATAGGCGGTCTGCAGCCATCCAAGCCTCTCTCCCTTCCCCTTCCACTCGCCCAGATACCGCAGGGACGTGGTAGAAGGCAGTCTTCAACCCAGGCCTCTCTCCTTCAGGTTCGGATGCCAGACCCTCCTGTGGTTGTGGCTCTTCCCTTGGCTCTACCCTTGGCTCAGCGCCGACCCCACCACTGCGCATTTGCTCCCCAAGGCCAGTCGCCCCACTCTCTGCCTCTTTGGTCGCCTCCTTCAACCCCATTTAAGGGGTCCCCTCTGCCTCCCCCACCAGGGGGGTCTGCTCCGTCGTCGCCTCCTTCCTCCTCTTCAAGGTAGGCTCCTCTTCACTCCTCCTCACTCTCCTCTTCTTCTTCACCACACCCTCCATCTCCTTGTAGACTCTCTCCTTCAAAGGATCAACTGGGGGCGGTCGTGACTCAAATCCACCGAAGTCCTTTTCCCCCAGGGGTTTGGGGCGTGGTCGGATCCTCTCCCTCGCGATCGGCTTTGGCGGTCAGTCTGCCTGGGACTCTTTGAACTTACTGGCTTTGGCAAGGATGGTCATATCCTCAGCCTCTTGCGCTTTCCTTCTCGCCTCTAACTTCGCCGGTCCCAAGTCTCCACCGATCGACTGAGGACCCAACCCCGCCGCAAACAAGGCTGACGGCTGAATAAGCTCATCCCATCTAGCGCCCTCCTTCTCCCTCCATTCTTTCACCTTCTTCACTCTCGCCTCTGCTGCTGCCCCCAGTTTTGGCTCCACAGACTTGGTGGGCACTTTCCAAATTGTGCGCACTCCAACCCCTCCGTTAGCGGACACATAGAACCATCGCGGCCTCCACCCCTTTATCGATGACGACAACCCCGCCACTAGCCCCTTCCCTGCCGCCGCCTGCAAAGTGACCCAAGTCTCTTGCTGTCCCGACGCCTTGTAGCACGCAAAAAACTCGTCTACCGTCATTTCAGCCCCCCCGTTCGCCTTCGGCCACACGCTCGCACAAGCCAGCAAGATTTTTCACACATTGGGCATCAGTTGGCCTGGAGCTACCTCCAATCGGTTCAACAAGTCCACCACTATCCGGGGCAGGAGCAACCTCAAACCCCCTTTTAGCGCCTCCTCATATAGGGCAAATTCCCCCGATCGAACATCGGATGCCCTCTCCTTTGATTCCGGCAGTCTCAACTCTATCTCTGCGGGAATCTGGAACTTCTCCCGTATACCCTCTAGCTCCTTCGCGGTAATGATCGACTTGTCGGCCTTCGTATGCCACTGATCTGGCTCCATCTGGCTAATTGGCATCGGCGCCGCCATCATTGTGGACGAGCGAGGTTGCCCCGACGGTTCCCCCCCACTCCCCATTTGCCTCTCCATCCTGTATTGCTCCGCCAAATCCACCACATCGTCGTCCCCCAATGGATCAACCCTGGCATCTACAACATCTTCTTGGGCCATTTCTGTGGTGTGTCTACGAATAGCTTCGGATGCGGGCGCAAGGAAATTCAAAAAATGTCGCAAGGGTGTATCACTTGCAACGAAGGAGTCTACACTTGGAATGTTTTGATTTTTCGAAAAAATGTAGGTAAAATGTATAATACTAAAAGCCCAAGGCTTGCCTGTATTCCAGGGGTCACAATTAATTTTCGCCAGTTTGAAAAATTTTCAACCATCCGCCAAAACTGTCTTTTCAACACCCATAATGACCTATCGTTTCACTTCTGGTCCAACGCCTAACCTTCCCCACCACGTGATTCTACCACGTGTACGACCACGATTCACTGCCCCCTTCCCCTACCCTATCTTTTCCACTTCAAGTCACCACGTGGCCCGCCGCCTCTCGAGCCTCACGCCCTGCCACCTCCCCCTTCGCGGTCGGCCCTCCTCATGGTCGGTCCCTCCACTCGGCTACCCTTCACGATCGGCCCTCCTCGTGGTCGGTCCCTCCACTCGGCTACCCTTCGCGGTCGGCCCTCCTCGTGGTTGGTCCCTCCACTCGGCGACCCTCCGCGGTCGGCCCTCCTCATGGTCGGTCACTCCACTCGGCCACCCTTCGCAATCGGCCCTCCTCGTGGTCGCCCCTCCTCATGGTCGGTGCCTCTACTCGGCCACCCTTCCCGCCCGGCCCTCCTCTTGGTCGGTCTATCCACTCGGTCACTCCTATCGGTCGGTCTCCATCCTGTCGGTCTCTAACAACCCTCATTTTATTCATTATTCCCTTCGTTGGACTAAAGCTGCACTTGGGAATGGGGGACTACTGACATGGGTAAGCCCATAAAGATTATAGCCCACCGTTTAGGGCCTAATACATATCTCAAATACTAAAGCCCAGCACTGCTAAAGCCCCATATAGCAATAAGAACCAATGACTTCAAGACACGTGGCGAGAGAAGGGCAAGCCACATCAGCAGACAAAGATCTGCAAAGTTATTGCCACATCACATCGCCATTAATAAGGCCCCTTACAGCATTTATTGCGATAACCCCTCTTCTTCGGGACAGCACGACCTCACCCTGAACAAGGTAAGCTACAACATAGACTTTCGGCCAAGGTGACAGGTCGGAAGGGACAACGAAATGATTACCAGAGGATATAAGCAGACGTTGAAGACAGGAAGAAGGTTAAGCTTTTCTATCTCTAGTCTATCTCTACAATCCACCTCTCTCTCTCTAACTTGCTCGTCGGAGGGTTTGCTAGGGGACTTCCCGTTCCCCGTTGAACTCTTGTGCAGGTCTCCAGGTAGGCTTGGTCATTCGGACATAGGCTTGAGGAGCGTGGATCAGTCCGACCTATTCTACCATCACAAACTGTATCATCAAACTGTATCATCAGTATTTAATTTTGTAATTGGAATAAGAATTGTGCGAAGAGTTATTGAGTCAAATTTGAACTTGTTTTTCACTCAACATTGGTTTGAATTTGTAAGAGATCTATTTGACCTAATTTGGATCTTCTAAAACTTTGAATTTAGAGTTTCTTAATTATTATGAATTAGATTGATAGGAAACCTATTCTGTTTAGGATTAGTTTTAAGAATGATTATTTGGTTATAAATATGTGAGGACTACTCGTTCAATTAGATTTTTTAGTTGAACGAGTAGTTTTGGTAGAGCTTTTGAAGTTAAGGTCTCTTTTTGGAGGTTTTCTCCTTGCTTGGTGATCCTTCATAAATCTGTAATCGTTAGTTATGAAAAATCTATATTTGTTGGTCTTGGAAGATCCGTATATGTTCACCATAGTTTGTTTGGAGTAGTCAAAAATGACTTGTTTAGTTTGGTGTCTTTTTTGAAGTCTTGATTTAATGAGATTTTGTCTTGCTTTAGAGGGTTCAATTTTGTTCTCGTCTCTCTTTCTTCTTTGCTTTGGGATCTATAATTATGTTTAACTAAATCTATTATATGTCTCCTTGGGAGAACTTGTCTCTCAGAAGTAGAGAGGATTTTGGGTTTGGTAACAAAGTATTTGAGTGGTAAGTTTTGTGAGAGATTATTTTGTCACCTTGTAACTCTCAAGAGCAACTATTCTCTCTCGATAGTGAATTCTTCTTTTCATGTGTGAATGTAGACTAAGGTTAAACCACGCAAATCTTGATATCGTACAATTGTTTCTCTCATGAATTTACATAGTTTACATAGTTCTTCTATTCCACATTCAAAACCATTAACTATTTTGATATGATTTTATTGTCGGCGGACTTTTCGCACAACAATCTACATTTAATTTATTTGATTCATTTGGTTATTTGTGGACTTGATATATTTTCTTCAAACGTTAATAGAAGTTAGTGTAATTTAACCAACCATAAAATTAACCACAGAAATTTTAACTCCTTTTATTTATAGCTCCAATGGTAATGGACAAAATGAAGGTCCCTTCCCTACTCACATCACCCTTAACATGGTCTCACATAAAAACCAAATACAGATTACACACACTCCAAAAACAGAGGATCACAAAACCAAGTTCTTTTACAACTCCAAAGGAACAACCAACACAAGTGAAAGATGTATTTCTTAAGATGTCCATGAGGACAAGGGTGGGGTGTCTGAATTCTTCCAAGTAGTCAGACCCTCCCCATACCTATCTCCCTTAACTGCATCAGCTGATGCAATGGATTCAAGTTCAGCCATTTCTTCCGGTGTCAGTTTTACTGACAAAGCTCCAATGTTCTGATCCAAGTTTGCAATCTTGGTGGTGCCGGGAATAGGACACACGTCACTTCCTTGGTGATGAACCCATGCCAATGCTAGCTGCCCTGGGGTGCACCTCTTCTTCTCTGCTATTTCATTAACTTGCTCAAACATCTTTTTGTTATGCTCCATATTCTCCGGCTGGAACCTTGGTAGATGCTGCAAAAAAATAAAAAATAAATGATATACAAGATTCAGCATCAAAACTGTGAATCCGCCATTCAGAGATTGATCACGTAAAACAAGCTCTGAAGTTGAATCACAACCCAACACAATGACTGTTTTCCCAATGGATTAAGAGAGTTTGAAGGATGAAATAAACGTAACTACATCCACAATAAAAAATTGTGCCAAAAGATAAAAAGCGAAAAGTTTTTCATTGAATAGTTACACTTGTTGACAAAGTTCACTGGAATGTGGTTTAATACAAAATCCAAGAAGCACAAAAGTAATTTATGCCAAAGAAGCAGAAAACATACAACTGACTGGCTATAAAATTACAATTTCAGTATAAAAGGACTTGAATAAGTTTTATTTACAAAACTTTCACTAACAAGCGCTCCTCATTTTTAGAAAACGTGGTGTATTTTATCAGCTTATAACATCGATTACTTTTCTACAGTTTGCACAAAGAAAGTCAAGACTATTCACAACAATGTTATGATGACATTAACATTGCACAAACCTGTCGAAAGTCTTCATTTGCAAAATTCTCAACAAGCTTGGGACCTGATGATAAAAATCCTCTCCCTAAAGGACTGTATGCAACGATCCCAATGCCAAGTTCTCTGAATAATCACAACGGATATCAAATTAGCAATTTGGATTTCTTGTTATTCCCTAAAATGTCATTTAGCAGAATAGATGCCTCACCTGCAAGTAGGAACTATTTCTTCCTCCACATCTCTTGTCCATAAAGACCATTCCAATTGTATTGCTGTAATTGGATGAACTGCGTGAGCTCTTCTGATTGTTGAAGGAGAGGCCTCAGATAGACCAATGTACTTTATTTTACCCTCTTCAACCAGTTTCTTGAGTTCTCCCATCTAGTGAAAAGATGGGTTACAAAAAAAAGAATCAAAGAAAAAAACAAGTAAATCATTTTGGAGACGTGCAGAAACATGTATACGTAAAGAGGAAGGGAAGTAGAAACAAGATTATCATGCTAGTCTACCACAGCATAATATTGGTATATGATCAAACAATTTGGATGCATGCTTAACTTAAGAAAGAGTGCACATTGATTGTAATCCAAAGAGTATGGTTTGCCTTCATGGGTAATTGATCTCCAAACACGGGCGTTTTTACTTTTTTATTGGCTTGATTGATTCCAACTGTTTTAAAAAATTGCAGCACGGTGGTGAGTTGAGCCAGAACACAACTCAAGCTTGTCCTAATTACTTGGGATCAGCTACATAAATCCAGTTCTCCAATGGATTTTATTTGATGTCATCTCCCCAAGTAAAATATAGAACAAAACCCAAATGGGTTTAAGAAAACTAGATAAATCAGCAAGGGCCTGTTTGGTCATCCCAATAATGTGAATTTGGCCCCAGAATATAATTTGAATATCTACAGAAGTTAGATAATTAGATTTGTTTGGCTGAAAAAGCACAAGTTGACAAAGCCCTACTCTCTTTATGAGTATTTAAATTCAGTTATTTCTATTAGAATATATAATAATTTTAAAATAGATTTGAAAGATTCAATGTTATTCCGTTGAACAGCTACACAAATTTGAACTATCTCATTTACAAATTGAAAAAACAAAACGGAATTAATTGATTTAAGATGGATCAATTCATGAGGCAAATTTGGCAGAACCAAAGGTGCCATATAAGCTTTATCATGCAAGTGGAAGTGCAAATCTTGTCATGTTAATTAAAGCAATTTATACTCATTGATGACTATGGATGGCAATTGGGCATAGAATTCATTGAAGAAAACACAAATGCTAGTAACTAAAAGTGAAGAGCTGAAGTAGGAACACCCGACAACAAAAAATGGGGAAGAATGTCATATGTTTGCAAATTTGACATCATCATCATCACCAAAAGGCAGGCAAAATACCATATCACAGTAAAAAGGCAAACTAGACAACATTGACTGAGAGAATAGCCAGCTCTCAATTGGAAATGTAAACTATAACATAATACTGAAACAAACACAAACAAAAGTGTATCAATATATATTATTAACTTGGGTAAATTACACTTTTTACTGCTATAGTTTGACTCAAATTTTACTTTGATTTAATTTAGTTTCAATTTGGTTCTTCTGTCCAAATTACTGTCGATTGTTTCTGCATACACACTTCATGAGAGACACTAGGGATGAGCATAATTTGGATTGGTTCAGTTTAGGAGTAAACCAAACTGAACTATTACTTAGAGCTTGTCTAGAAATTGACTATTTTAGTTGTTTTTTTACTTTTGACGAAAAAACGTAGAAAAACTTAGAGAGATGTGATTGTGTATTTTGGCTTTTTGGCTATTTTAATAAAAAAAAACCATATGCCAAACACCCAATTTCAAGAAATTTGGAACCAAACTAAATTATGAAAATCTTACAAACAAATTAAACCGAGCAATTAAAACGTGGTTTGGTTTGGTTCAATTTAAAACTGTGATTTTTAAAAACTTTATCATCATTCACAAAAGGAAAATTGTAATATATACACCTTTGAAAGAGGGGTATCATATGCACACTAGTTATGTCATTTTCTTCTTCTTTAGTTATGATCAATTTCCTTTTTTAGTTATGATATTATTTTAATTATAACTCATGAGATCTTTAATTATACTCCATATTGTATTTAGTTATGATATTGTTTTTAGTTATGACTCATAAAATTTAAAGTTATGCATATGATACAACACAGGATGTTTAATAGTGCTTCTCTTTACAAAATATCATTCACAACCTATTTCTCTTTACAAAATATCATTCACAACCTATGACTTAGTGCTCGTTTGGGATAGTCTATAAAAGACAAAAAGCCAAATAGTTACTAAAAAGACCAAAAAGTTATTACTATTCACCAAAAAAGTACAAAAAAAAAGTACACAAGCCAAATTTGTATTGAAGTGAGGGTATAAGTTGACGTGTGAACAGGAACATGTTAAAAAAACAAAAAACTAACCCGTAGGGGCCACCACGATTTTCGTTTCGATAATTCAAACCGTTCAATGCGTAGAACTTGTTGAGTACTATATATGTATGTAAAAAATCACGTTGATCGGATATCGATAGCTATGTGATCAAATCAGATTTTTGCCAGCCGTTTATTTTTCACCGTCCATTTTTTTGTTATACAAAACTGATTTGATCACATAGGTATTGATATCTGATCAACGTGATTTTTTACAGGCATATGGTACTCAACAAGTTCTACACATTGAACAATTCAGATTATTAAAACGAAACCCGTGATGGACCCCCATGGGTCCAACAGTACTCTCCAGTCCTTCATCGAACTAGGGGGAAGCCTAATCCTATACATATATATTCTGAAGCATGCCTACCCACCATCTCATTTCAAAGCAAGCCGTATTGGTTCCTTCAATCATCACTGTCAATACACATAGGGCATACAGGTAATACACTAATTTTATTATTTTATACAATATTTTAATACATTTTTTTTCACTACTTTTTTTATCTAAAAAAGACAAAAAAATAATCCCAAATAATCATTTTTTTTTTCCACTACTTTTTTTATCTACAAAATCAAAAAGTGCAACAAAACTAGTTATACGGCTATAAAAAACATGATTGCAAAAGTAAAAGATTACAAATTATGTATATATATAGGGAGCCTTGCTCTAGTCTAAAAATCAAACTGGACAGTACTGTTCGGCTCGTGAAGGCCCACCATGGATCCTGTTTTGATAATCCGAACCGTTTAATGTGTAAAACTTGTCGAGTACTATATGCTTGTAAAAAATCACGTTGATCGGATATCGATAGCTTTCTTATCGGATCAGTTTTTTCTCAACCATTAATATGCTCACTGTCCATTTTTTTTTTTTATATAAAACTGATTTGATCACATACTTATTGATATCCAATCAACGTAATTTTTTACGACCATATAATACTCGATGAGTTCTACACATTAACGGTTCAGATTATAAAAACGAAACCAATTGTGACCCCCACGGGCCGAACAACACCGTCCATTTATACATTTAAAAACATACACTTTACATTTATACATTTAAAAATATAATATTTATAAAAAATTAAAAAATTCACTAAATATTAAAAATATAAAAATATATATATATGAAAATTCAATATATTTTTTATATTTTTATATATTTATTAATTTTTACAAATATTTTACTATTTAGATACATCTAAGTAAGATGCATTTAAAAAAGTAAAAAAAATTGCTTAAAATTTTAAAAATATTCACTAAAAGCCAAAAAATACGAAAAACAAAAAATTCAATTTCCATAAAATTGAATTAAGAAAATTGAACCAAATACACTGATTTTATTGTGTGGTCATTATCTATTTGGTAGCTCTTGATTAAAATATATATGTACATATATATAAGCTCTTATTATAAGTATATTTATTCTTTTATTTTTGTGACTATTTATCTTATAATAGTTAATTATTGTTTTTTTTTTAAATATCTAAAAAAACATAACACCTACAATTATATATTAATATATATTTTATACATGTCAGTTTTTATTGATTAGTTTATTTTATTTAGAAAATTTTGCCACAAGTGTAATATGAATTTATGACATGAAGTCATTAATTATTGAAATAAAATGTAAAAAACTCATTTTATAGTGATTTAAAAATATAAAATAAATTGGATCATACTTAAAATTAAAAAAAAAAAAAAATTGATCAAAATTTATTTTAAAACCCAATAAATATGATTTTGAAAAAAAATAAATATATGTATCGATAAGTTTTTTTTCAAATTGTGCGAAAAATAAAAACATTCACTGTTCCAGTTACCGCAACCATTACGTTACGGCCTTAACACCCCGCACCCGCAACCACGCCACCGCCACCGTTATGGCGACCGCAATCGCTTTTCAGAACCTTGACCACACTAGATGCACTTGGGTATATTTGCTCTGTCGCAAGTCTGACGTGTTTTTCATTTTTGTTCAGTTTTTGCAAATGGTTATGCTTAGTTTCGTACAATTGTTAGGAATATCTGTTCTAATAATGGTGGGGAATATATTTCCAATACTTTTCGCTCCCATCTTAATCAAACTGGTATTCTTCAACTTACATGTCCACGAACTCCTGAGCAAAATAGTATAGTTGAACGTAAAAATCGTCATATTATGCCTATTTTGTAGTGTCTCATTTGTGGTATGAGTGTCCCTAAGTCCTATTAGCATATGGATTGCCCACCGCTGTCTATCTTATTAATAGGACCCCTAGTCGTGTGTTGCAGGTCTTACTCCATTTCATGTTCTTATACTCCACACTACTCTATTTCCTCTCATGCTCCGTGTCTTTGGGTGTACCTATTTTGTTTAGGATTGGAGTCCCGCTCGTACCAAGTTAGATAACACGTCTATTCGTTGTGTCTTTCTAGGATATTCTTCTATGTCAAAAGGGTATAGGTGTTTTGATCCTGTGTCTCGTCACTTTCACCACACTATAGACGTACATCTAGATTAAATGAATTAAAAATTAAAAAATAATTAAAATATTAAAAGTTCGAAAATTATTTTTGAAACTTTAAAATCAAATGAAGTTCCATATTAATTTTTGAAAAACAAGAGGTTAGGTAAGTGGTTTTAGTTTAAGGTTCCTAATATTTAAATTTTATAAGGTAAATGATATGCAATATTTTTATAATAGTTTAGATCCATAAATATTTTTACAGAGAAATTTCAGCATAGAGAAATTCGGCATAGAGAAATTTGTGAAATTTCTCTGTGACAAATTAAAATTTCTCTGTAATAAGTTAAAATTTCTTAAATAATATTATTAAGGGACCTTAACTAAAAAGAAAAAAATATTTTGAACCTCTTCTACTATCAAAAATTAGAGAGGAATGTTTCACCAATTTTCTCATTAAGTAATACAATGTGAATGATGTGGAGTATTATTACAAGATTATCTAATAACCAACATTAAAATAGTGAATCAAGGAGTATCAATCCAATACTACCATACAATCAATATGAAAAGGGTAATGTTATATAAGCTTAATTTTTATACAAAAGTTTCATACCAAATGACAAAATTATTTATGATTTTGTTTAATCAAAATATTTATTATTATGTCTTATAATTATAAATATGTTATTATTATATCATGTTAAATGCATTTTTTTATATAAATTCTGAGAAATTCTATTTGTAAATTATTTTTCCAAATAAAAAATTAAGGCACTAGATGGATTTGCCCCAACAATAGTGTAATTAGAAATACAGACCCTCACACACGTGTGAGAGAAAAAGAAATATTACAA